AGAGTATGATTTTTTCTTACTGTACATTATGTATATAGTTAATTGAGACTTTTCGCCTCTAAGCTTTCCAAATCTGGTCTCGACTTTCATCTATCTAACACCGTTCTCGAGATTAAAGAAGAACGACAGTGGGAATTTATAGTTCTATAATTTTTTTAAATCGCAGCCCAGTTATTAAAGTATATATTTTATAGAATTTACAGTAAATAAACGGAAGAATCGCGTGTATTTTTTCCTTTATTTTTAAGTGATATCTGCGGATATGTTAACTTACTATGCAATTTCCTACGATGGAAGCGCGGGCTGCCAAGGAAGCTATTACGGATGGTGGAAAGACGAGATTTCCAATATGGTTGGTTGAGATTCGGCGAACCGGGCGGGGTACTCAATGGACTGTCTTCGGTCGGTCCTCGAGCTGTTGGTTTAGGAGAACTGAGAGGAGACACCGATGGACTGGAGGAGTGTAAGCAGCTGCCGCTTCTCCTTCCCCTTCTATTCACAGAAAAATCAATTCACTATAATTGGAAACCTCTTCACATATCCAGAACCAAGATTATAAAATAGGAATCCCACTTACGCGTATGGATACCTTCGCGTCGTTACGGGAGATCCTTCTGTCAACAACTCGAACGAGTATCTAAGAACGACAGTAACGACAATTAAAATTGTTTAATGACCCTGTTTATATGTATATATATAAAAATGTATTACTTGGGGCCTGCTCTTCCATTTACTTGACAGGTATCTACCCTCTTTCTGGGAGGATCGGCTGTCGGAAAAGTAATGCAATAGTCAGATTTTAAATGTGGCAATTTATTATTTTTTGAAAATATTAATGTTTTCTCACCCGATTCCGATCGATTGCGTATGATGACGTCTGTTTCGTCTTCGTACGAGGGTTTTCGTTTCTTGCGATCCAGGAGCAGGAAATAGATGACTTTTTCCGTGTTGTGGCTATGGAAGAAATCAATTTTGTCTCGAGAACAGTGTAAAAAAAAGCTCATACACCAATTAAAATTTCGCTTACGTTTCGTTTAGTAATTCTTGAAGTAGTCGTTCTTTATCTTTAAAACAACCTAGGGACGTCATACTGGATAGTACATCGGGGTCTAAGTCGTCGACTGTTGGTATGATGTGTGTCTGCAATATTTACGTATATTAAAAACGGACTTAGTTATATTCATAATTTAATAAATAACTTACTTGTACGACTTCTTTCATGGGTAATTCTAACTCTAACTCTGTCTTGTTTCCTCTAGAAATATCAATAAATATCCAATTATAACACTTAAATTATGTATTGTCGAATTATGAATAGTGAATCTGTACTCACGCCATCACCCATGGGTGCTTAGTCACATCTGCTAACTATAATTTTTAAAAAAAGGAAGTAAATGTTAAAATATGTAAAATTTTAAATCACCTTCAATAAAATTAATTTAATGATGAACAGCATTTAATACTTAAAATATAAATTCAATTATTATTATTATTTTTGTTGTTGTTATTTTCCGATTGTATGCTCATTTCTATCATTTCTAGAAGAGACAATGCATTATATATATAAAATTCTCATGTCACTTTATGAACTAGCTAAAGTTAAGTCGTGGATGGAGACAGCTGCTGAATCATTTGAACTCTCCCGTATCGATTATATTCCTGGCCCTGAACATTTTTATTTCTTATCGTAGTCAATTGCAGTCTATCTACGACTTTATCAATTATATCTGTCTTCCGACTTCCTAACTCCCTATTTATTATACAACTAACTCTCGATTATTCGTTCGCAGATTATCCGTGCAGGAGGAAAGACAAAAAGCGGGAAAGCTTCGGCAATTAATCTTGCAGGTTTGATATATGAGAAACTCGTCCTACAACTCCTTTAACTGCTTCCAAACGTATTAAATTTGTCGACTTTGCATAGTTTCCTGCCTAAATTTGATTATATTAAAGATATAGAATTATTAAAATACAGTTCTAAACCATGATTAGAGTATAAAACTAGTGAAAATTTAATATTTTTTTGGAGAGATATTGATGAAGTTTTAGAGCGCGAATCACGTGTAGAATAATAATGAATTCTGTTAAATAAGAGCATCTTCCGAAAATTTTATCCTCTTATTTCCTTCATTTTATCTAAAAATTTATGAATTTTAACACACGCTAATGCCTTTCATAATTATCAACTGGCAGACTGGAATGTAATGACTTTTATGGCAGCTATATATATTTTCAGTTTAGGCTTGCCGTCAGCCGGCTACTACCTCCTAATTTTTGAGTCTATACTCTAAAGTTATATTGTTCTGCGACTTCATACAAGTATACGAAATATTTTCTGCCGCTGTTGGCCTACAGATAAGAAACGTAAATACATTTCTCTGTCCATTAACTTTCTACCTGTCTAGTAAATGTATATGTTTATACACCTAATAAAACGAATTGAATCGGGCATCACACGGAAACTATCAGAAATTTACTGGCAGATAATCGGATAGTGACGCTGTAAAAATGACAAAAATGAATACAGAGCAAGATTTAAATGTCACGACACAAAACCTATTAAAATTTTTTTAAAAGGTCTCTCGACTTTTATCAACTTATTGATCCGAATTTTGTATTCAAAGATTCTCTCGTCTCTCTATAAACGGAAATAGACTCAATTTCCAAAGGGCCATAAAATGGTTTACTCTTCATTAAAAACAAAAAAAAAAAAGTCGATAAATAAATAAAATCCGCATGAAACATTCTGACGATTTCTAGGAAAGTTTCAGAAAACTTTCAAAAATTGCTTACAAATTTCTCTAATCTTCATCACATACTGTGTAAGAATTTAGCTTTATATTGGTTTTTTAATTCGATCCGCATGAAATATTTTCAAAATTTTGATGCATTAAGCCTTTAACCGCGCTAATTTTAACATTATCTTCGTTTCTTCTAAAAGATTTACGCTAATTTCAACACTCCATTCTATTTACTCTACTTCAACGTATCGACTCTCATCCTAGTCACGCCATTTCTACTTATCCACGCTGCTTCTACGTAACAACCCCCGTGCATGCCGTTTCTACATATCTACCTATCCTCGCTGCTTCAACCTATTCGCTCTAGTTTCAACTTATCGACCCTTATCCAGCTGCTTCAACGTATCGACCGTTATCCACATCGTTTCAAAGTATCTACGTATCCACTTATCCACTATGCTTCTGTCTTCAAATTCCTTCGACTATCCACCTTTTAATCCACGCTGCTTCTACAATATCTACTTCTATCGACGAAGTTTCTACACGCTACCTTTACGTAAACAAAGATACCGATAAAGTCCAAACAAGAATATCGATTAAGTCCAGATAATGACTGAATTCGAAGAATAATTTCAGTTCCAGTTATTAATTTTATAAGGGGAAAAAACTTTATAAACATTCCTGAAAATTATTAGAATTTTATTTTTTTTAATATTTCTTAAAATCGAATAATTTTTAGGCATACGTCTTTGAATCTGTATAGTAATATTCATAGTCATTAGCTTCTCCCATCCAAGAAAAATCAACTATTCCTAACTGTTTACACTGCGGATTATCTGATCTTCCTGTAGATTATACATCATCATACTTTTCCGATACGTTTAAGATCTTTTGCCATTCCTTTCTCTATTTTTACTAATCTCTAATCGGATATTTAATTAAAATCAAGAGCGCTAATTACATTCTTCAGAAGCAACTAATATAATTAATAACACATTAATTTAATTATACTTATGACTAAAGATAATTTAATAATGCTATTTTATTTATTTCGTTAAATTAAATAAACTCCAGCAATAAAATGGATTTAATGAATCTGATAATATTATATAAACGATTTAAAGGTATAAATCTTTAAAAATTAACTTTTGATATTAAAAAAAAAAAACATAAACCTTAAAACATTTTAAAAATTCATTTACTGTTAGTTTATTTCTTACAGTAAATTGGATTAATTTACTATTAATCTTAGTCCATTCGCCTTAAAATCTAATTTCTTTAACAGCTTTATTTTATTTTTTTCTCTCTTTCTTAATTTCTCCAATTTTCATTTGAAGGAGCCTTTCCTGATGTCGATTCTATAGTAAATGAATCATTGGACGCTACAGATCTGTAGAAACTACTTTTCCAAATGAAAAAGTAGAGGTAATTTTAAGATTTCAAGACTCGTTTCTCATTCGAAAGCCAAATAATACATTAATTATACTTATAAACCACCCAATAAATCGATATTTAATGTATGAAAGTTGGAATGGACTCGTCTCTTGTATCATGTAATATTACGCTACGTTATCACTATTGTAGTGGGATATTGTTTGGAGGCCGACAAAGAGAAGTTAAAAGCATAGTTCTAAACTGAGGAGAGTCAAAATGATGAAATATACTTTAGGAATCAAGTATCTACACTCTTCCTTTCAAAATGGCTCCGTAGTAATTTACACGTGAAATGAGAAAAATAGTCGGACCATTATCTTGGTCATTATCTATTATTATTAAAATACGGTTCTAAACCATGATTAGAGTATAAAACTAGTGAAAATTTAATATTTTTTGGAGAGATATTGATGAAGTTTTAGAGCGCGAATCACGTGTAGAATAATAATGAATTCTGTTAAATAAGAGCATCTTCCGAAAATTTTATCCTCTTATTTCCTTCATTTTATCTAAAAATTTATGAATTTTAACACNCGTGTCTTAAGAATCCGAATTAATTATTCTTACAGTTTTGTTTTTATTTTTTGTTTCTAAGACTCTAAAATCTATAAAAAATAAAATGTAAGACCTTAGTCTACAAATAGTGAATTTATTTATGAACTTTTTACTGCATTAAATCTTCTTAATTTTGTTTCTAAAGTCTTTTAAGAAAAAAAATATGAAAGTTCTAATAAAATAATTCATTAATAAATTTGTGGATTGATTCTTACGAAAGCCACAAATACAGCGTGAATCTTGAAAATAATGGTATCTGAACAGGACTAAAACACGATTGAAAGAGCTAGAACTAGGGTTTATTTCTGATAAAGATTATACCATAGCAACCAAGGAATAAATTCTCCTCGGTTGCTATGGTATAATCTTCATAGAATTAACAAGAAGTTATAGAAAAAGTTATTAATGGTTTCGTATTATATGAATTTTGCTGAAAGTATAATAATACGAGCAAAAATTATTGTGAAATCGTCACAATACTGGGCTGCAATTTTAATCATATTTTTAATTTATTTAATTTAAAATATATGCTCTCGATCTCAAATTACTAGTGTACATCATACTTTTCCTATAACAACAGAATAATGCCGGTCATCTATATAACCGTTCTGGGAAAAACTTTTGAATTGAAATCACGTAACTTCCGGTATATCTCGGAAGTTTGTATATAGTTAATAGGAGCCTTCTGCCCCTAAGCTTTCCACATCTGATTTCGACTTTCATCTATCTAACACCGTTCTCGAGATTAAGAAAGGACAGATAGATAGTGGGAATTTATGGGTCTATAATTTTTTCAAATTGCAACCCAAAAATTGAACCTTTTAAGTATAAATATTTATCTCGAATAAATTTGGAAAATAACAAGAATCTTTTAGGGATTTCAGAGAAAATTTTGGGCTTTCTGAATATCAAAATTAAAATAATACATATTATATTTGGTACTCACAGCCATTCGTTTTTCCGGATCCACTTCGATCATACCTCTCAAAAGATTTTGACAATCTGGAGATACAAAATGGGGAATGTGGAAAACACCTCGCTTCACTTTTTCCAACAACTGACGAAGGTTGTCATCATCGAATGGTAAGGCACCCTAAGATATTCCAAATAAGCTAAATTTCGCAGGATAATCAGTTTAATTTATTATTAATCAAACTTACCACAAGCAATGCATATAATATAACTCCGCAACTCCATACATCTGCACGTCTTCCGTCGTATTTTTCGCCCTTCCAAGTAAACATACGTTATCATTTTTTACATAAAAAATCAATTTTAATAGTTAATATATATATACATTTACCCTGATCACTTCTGGGCAAGCATAATGAGGAGAACCACAAGACGTTTCCAACATGGAGCCTTCGACTTGAAGCGAAGCCATCCCAAAATCAGCGACTCGAATGTTATTTTTATCGTCCAGTAAGAGATTTTCCGGTTTTAAATCACGATGGCTAGATAAAATATCGTGTAAATTTATTGTATTGATTCAATGAACGAATTTAAATATATTAATTTATAAGATGTAAATCATTTCTTTACATTTCTTTACATTCATTAGATCATTTCGTTCAAACTCACCATATAGAGTGACTGTGGCAGAAATCGAGGGCTGAAATTATCTGGCGGAAAAACCTTCTAGCTTCTTTTGGTGTAAGGCGTCCTTTTTTAACTAAATAATCGAATAATTCACCGCCAGAAACGTGTTCTAGGATCAGGTACCTGATAAATAAAAGATTGTATTTGTTAAGCTAGCTTGGATGCTGCCATTTTTAAGTGCAAACCCATCTAAGTGTGTTCCAGCTTATACATTCTTCTTAGTGAGCCATTTCTATTATATACAATGTTAAAACTTCAAAAATCATAAAATAAAAACTACCGTACAGTAGCTTTTTATTGTCTTCATCGACAAGCGATTATTTCTTCCAGAGAATTAAATGGATTTTTATTGAAAACCGATCGACTTCGACATACGATTCCAAGCTATGAAATTTATAATGCCATTGTTCGAAGAATTGATTGTAACTGTATATAAATTCTCCCATACAGTACTACAGCACAGATATTTAAAGATAGAATCCTCGTACCGTATAAGTTTACACCTTAGCAAATTAAAATTCTAAGATTATCGAAGCTTATATTAAATCTATTATATTTTAAATATACAACGAATTTACAATTTTAAAATAATTTATATAAACTATTGATAATCTACACACACACACACACACACATCTGAAATTTATTTATAAGCATTCATAGACTTTGTGTAAAGCTCGAGAAAATTCATTCCACGCTTGAAAATTCCGTTTGAAACTTTTAACGTAGCTTATTAGGAAATTTATTAACTTAGTATAGGAGAGAAAGGCACCGTTTTTAGTAGGATTTGAATGAGATTAGGAGTCTTGAGTTATGTAACACATTTGTGTCATAATCTGCTGTCACAGTCTGAATGGCAACTCCATTCTTCTCTAAGCAATCTTTATTTCTTTCCTCCTCCTTTCATCTTCCATCAACTGTCTTCTCCTCTAACGCTTCAAAATACTTTTGAAATTATCGAATTATTTATTTATAATAAATAAATAAATGTGTAATGATACTTGGATAAGTATTACTTTCACGGATAGAAGAAATTCTATGTGGTTTAGATGAAATTCTTATAAATTATATGCATTAAAGTCATACATAACTTCCTAATTGACCAAGTTAGCATTTATTCTATTATTTCTATATTAAGGATGATGATGATGATGATAATCATAAACAGAGCTATCTAATATGCTAATGTAATTTGGAGTATGTATATACAGATATGTAATAGCTTAATCTAGAATTTGAAAATTATGTTTTAAAGAAAAACTGTTCTAGAAATAATTTCACATATAAAATTCTTGATTAGGTGAGAGTAAAAAATGAACTAATTGTGAATTTTAATAAAATTCAAATTGAATTAAAAATCGGCAAAAATAATACAATAAAACCTGTCAAAAGCGGAACCGTAACAAAATGGAAACCTACCTAAACGGAAAAAATTCTTAGCTATTTTCTGTGTTTTAAAAAAACCTGTTGAAAACGGAACTTCCAAATTGGAAAAAATATTCGGTGACGTACGAATCCAGTTTATGCAGGTTTCACTGTACTTTCAATATTTTGTATATTTTAATTTCAGATTTCACAGATTAATTTTGTTAAATCTATAAAGAAATTTCGCTTCCATTGAAAGTATCTTGTAGATAGGAAACATCGAAAATCGATAATAGAGTTATTTCAGATATATCTAAGCAATGGAAGCGCTTGAAATGTCAAATTTAAAGATATATCTGTTATGGCAATCATTCAAAATAACTAGTATAATTCGGTATAAAATCCAGTTTGATTGTATTCGATCGATTTTGAATGATAACAATTATATAATTTATTATTTTAAGAATTGTTCTTGTTTAATAAATTCATCGAAAAATGACACGATCGATTTTCAATATTCGACATTTCCTACTCGCATGAAGAAGTTTAATAAAATAAATTTATATTCAATTAAATTCGAACGAAAAGTAATGCTGCGATATCATTTTTTCCCTATTCGGAACTGAATAATCAAATTGAAAAATCAAAAAAATTTAACCGATGTGCATATATTTATATAGTAGAACTACAAAAAATAATTCTGTCATACCTTCGAAGAATAAATAAATTTAACGAAGCGAAACTTTTCCTAATAAAATTGTTCGATAGCGAGATCCTGCAAGTAGTTAAATCCGTTTTAAAAAAAGCCAGTAACGAGTTGCGTAACTTTCCCGTCGAAAAAGTTAAAATTGTGTATGGCGCCATCTGTTATGATATTTTTTAAAAAACTATATATATTATTATTATTAAGTGGCAAAAAGCTTAATTTTGAAAGTAAAGATGAGTTTTATTTAAAAAAGCAGTTGTAAGTGTTAATAACGAATAAATTCATTAAGTCCTACCCTACTCGAGATATGACACGCGAGCCCCTCTATCTTCCCACCCCCTGACCTTTTGACCTTTAACCATCAAAATTTAACAGCATCAATGTCCCTAATACACAAACCTATCTGCAAAATTTCAGAAATTTTTAACAAAAGCCCAGGAGTTGAGCATCAAGATGGGTGAGCAAAATTGCACCCCTACACACAATATCATTCGTACATAAAGGAGAAAAAAATCAGATTTTTTCATTTCTTAACGTTTCAAGGTCCCCTGAGTCCAAAAAATATAAAAATCTTGGAGGGTGTAATTTTTTGACCGATCACCATACTTTTCTGTGCCATGTAAGACAGGCGAAAGCGTAATAAAATTGTTACTGCTGGTTAGTTGGATGCTAAAAATGGGTATCGGTAGACACGGTTGTAAGAGATGCTGTTCGTGTATGATTAGCCGAAAAGAGAATTGATCAATCAACAATACATCTTCATTTTCAATTAATTAAGGGAATAATATACAAGTAGGTTAATTTTTATGCTGTTTCTAATTGTAAGAACTCTCAACCGAAAGATTAGATAATTTTACAGCAGTTTGCTTTATTAGACTGACATAAGATTGTTTCATATAGATAAACATTCTAGGATAACATCGAATTTCTTACCCGAAACTAAACATAATGCATATTTGAAGAAGTAATGTTCATACAAACATAATATTTATAGAAATGTTCTGGAATGTTTATATAAATATAATCACGGTAATTGCATATGAATATATTTTTTATTTCAAAATATTTACTCCATTCTTATATAATAAAAATTTGCCCCTATTCTTCTATAAGAAAAGAAATATTATATTATTGGCATTAATCCTTAACTTCCTAAGCATCGAACCTCTTAATCGTAGTATCTTCCTCATATTACCCAGATGTTTTTCAAATAATAGATTATAAGATAGAGTAATTCCCATGCAGAACATACGATTTCAAGACTTTAACTTTATCTGATTTCACATGCTTCATATTCCTGAAAATTACAATTTTAGACTTGTGTAATTTTTAGATCATCATCATCTATATGCTTTACCAACACACCACAAAATCGTCATCAAATTGTTGAAAAAGTTTAGGTAAATCCTTAACTCGTGTCAAGAAAACTCGAATATACATTATTGTGACATGGTCAAAGTGCTGGGCCGCAATTTAATTATCTTTTAATTTAAAAAATCATGTGACTTCCGGTCCAGACCGAAAGTTCCTATTAGTTAATCAGGGGCCTCCGGTATCTAAGCCTTCCATATCTGGTCTCGATTTTCATCTCACTAACTCCGTTCTCGAGATTAATGAAGGACAGACAAGCGGACAGACGACATTAGTAATATAGGTCTGCAATCTAAAAATTGCAGCCCAATAAGGTTAGACTTAATGTATCTCCTTGTGGTAGATCTGTAAATAGCGAAAGGAATAGTGAATTTCCTAGTCTAATTGAAACTTTAGATGTCAAATTTTAAAATAACTGAAATAAATGTATACGAAATTTTACTAACAATTCGGACAACATGGCAGGGTTAAATGCCTTGTGAAAATCAACAAAGCACAGAATCATTCTCCTTCATGTTTTTTTTCTTTTTTATTTTAATTATAAGTCGAAATGATTGATGTTAGAATAAACATTATGTAGAGAACTTTAACGTAACGAAATCCAAACTGTGCTGAATTAATATTACGTATCAATAACTATTTGTCAAGTCTACACACCTAAATCGAAGAGAATATTTTACGGATTACTGTAATTAAATGAAAATATATTTATTAGATTAGAAAATAATTTTACGGTAACCGTAATCGGTCTGTAATTAGATTGTTCGTTTCTGTTTCCTTTTACTTTCCCGGCTGTTATATATGGCAATCGGTAAAAAAAATGACTCTCCCAAGATTTTTAATTTTTGGACTCAGGACACCTTGAAACTTCGAGAACTACAAAAAAAAAGTTAAATGGTTTTTTTCTGTATTTACGGATGTTAGTGTTTGTAGGGAGCGAAATTTTGTTCACCCAATTTAAAGCTTAATAACTTCTGTATCTTTTGTCGAAAATGTATGAAATTTTGCAGATAGGTTTGTGTATTAGGGGATTGATGCTATTCAATTTTCAAGGTCAAGCGAGTGGAGTGAAAAAGCGGATCCCACTTATCCTATCTCGAGTGGAATCGGACTCAATAAAGATTTTACTTGTTATTAGGACTTGTAATTTTTTTTAATATAAAACTCATCTCTACCCTGAAAATTAAGTTTTTTTTTTGACATTCTATAATAAGTAATACAGTAGAACCTCGAAAACTCGGCTCTCGATAACCCGGCACTCCGGATTACTCGGCCACACCCTGGCATGGGAAAAAAATCCTTAGTTAATTAATTTTCATTATAGACAGCTTTATAAAAGTATAAAAGCTCTCATAAAGTATTTTTATGAGGTCTGTCTTATCAGGTAAATTACTGTACACAGTGTATTCATTAATTTTCATTTTCATGTAGTAAAGGCTCTATGCCTTCATAAAGTACGTACTTTTCCTTTGTTTAAGGGTATTTGGGCAGTTTATTCTCTGTTGTATTCTCCAGCAAACGATACATACAAGTACAGTACACTATTTTCTGAGGAAACACGCATAATTATCGTCTTTTAACCCCATTCCCGATAACCCGGCATTTTCACAAACTCAGCCACCCTTCGGTCCACATTAGGCCGAGTTTCCGAGGTTCTACTGTAATATAAAATATTTCTTAA